GGGGTGACTTATTGGACGCAGTCTGTTCGCTAGTGGTGGGATTTACTCTCGGTAGCTGGTGGTCTGCTCTGCAACAGGTGGGGGGTTAGCTGCGGACGCCAACGACTGAGAGAGAGGACTGATAGGCCGTAATGGCTCCCAGCCGCCTCTACAGTGGCCCGGTACCTACAGTGAGTGACCGATCTCATGAAATGTTGGCCAAAATTCTGAAATGCGTTTTCGATTTGGAAGGATTACTTTGATGGGGTTGTAATACTAATTATCTTGCGGCATAATCGGCAAGATGTCGGCTTCTGAATGCACTTCCTTTCAACCCCCTGCAGAAACCGCATTCGGTAAAAAATGACTACTTATGCAGCATGCACTTCTCTCGTTGATTTTCGATGGTCTTGCAAATATAAATATATTTTATAACAAACATGAACAACGGTATTCTTTCGTTCACTCGTTTAACAGGCAATCAAGCCAACCTCATATCTTATACTCGAAGAGGGAATATAATTAGCTTTTAAAAATTTGGTGCCTGATCAGCCGTTGCATTAGCGCCTAGTGATTTCAGTCTTCAAATGTGCACGCATTCCGCGTATGGAAAAACACATATTTTTCCATGCCTTTATGAAAGTGTCATATGGCGTTTATAAAATTTTACAATGGATGCGGACTATGTTATACCTCTCACGGGGAGCAGTGGTGAACGGACAGGTACGATACTGTATGAATGGAGGTTGCTCGGTCTCTAAAAACCTCATGATTTGAAACTTTAAAACCATACTTATACTCCTTCTTCGAGTATAAAATGTGAAGATGACTCGGTTCTCTATCAAACGGCTGCAAGAAAGCATATTTTTGTTCGTGCTTTCTATAAATTATATTTAAATTTCCAAGACCCCGAAAGTCAATGGGTATAATGCTTGCTACATATGTAGTCATTTTTACCTAGTACGGTTTCTACGGGAGATTGAAAAGCAGTGCATTCAGAAGCCGACAACTTGCCAAGTCCGGAATGTTATAGGATTATGCCGCAAGATGATCAATATTACAACAGCGCCTAAGTAATCCTTCCTAAATCGAAAACACATTTCAGAATTTCAGCCAACATTTCATGAGATCGGTTACTCACTGTAGCACACCATTTCCTTACTCCTGTTCAAGGGCAATTCAGTGTGATGAGACCTTTAAATATTAAGCGATAAGTATCATTAAGATACCGGAAGACGATATTTGATGCGAAAGGCTGTAATGGCTCCTAGCCGCGCCTCTACAGTGACTCGGTTGTAGGGCGAGGACCAGGTCGTGTGTGGCACGCGCGCGCGCCCATCGGCAGTTTTAACATTGCTCCGCCATCGGAGCCAGGTGGGTGAGGGGCGGAGAGTTGTAGATGTTGCGCAGGTTTGCTCCACCGTGAAATAATTCACGCGCAAGTAATTGAGGCCGCTGCACTGCGTGAGGCACGCTGAATGCGTCGCACGGATGGGCTGTGGGCGTCAATGACTGCGGTGTGTCGGTGGGCGTTGGCGTAGCAATACTCAGTGCTTGTCACAGTTCTCGGATGACTACCAGGCCCTGGGGGGGGGGTTAAATTAGCTTAAATCACTTCTCAGCCGTGATATGCTAGGGACGAGGCATCGACGCGTACTCGGACCGGGTGTCGGTCTTCTGATCATCGTTAGACTGGAGTCAAACGTGACCACGTTTGCGAAGGCGGTCTGCGTATTCCAATCTCGCCAAGCATGGCCTATTTCGGCGGCCTAGGGGGAGGACCGGCGAGGAAACTGAGCGTTTATGACCTTGGTCTCTAGATCTCCTGGTAGCGATTAGGGCACTGGTGCTTCCGATCCAGAGTTTCGCTCCGGCAAAATCAAGTAAGACCTCCCAGTCGTAGTGTTCTCATTCCTTATGTAGGACGGCATGGCCAAGAGGTCTGTAATCGTGTCCTACGCCAGTATCAGCAAACCCTGGCCATCGCAGCCGGGTAGGCACTGGCAGTCCCCTGACACCTGGTTCCCTACCGGTAGATTCGCTTGCGCTCCTTCTGGGTATGTAAGTGGGGGTGGACATGGTTGCCCAGTCATCATCGTCCCTCCGATCCCCTGTTGGAGTTTTGTTGGTCAAAACTGGACCGGGGAATGTGGAGTTGAACGCCAAGGTGCGGGCTCGACCGCGCCCTCCCACCTCCGGTCTTATTGACTGTGTCTTGACACCGAGTCCAGGTGGGGAGTGGGGAAGAGAGGGCGTGGTAGATGCTACGCAAGTCCACTATCAATATAAACTAGTTCCTGCGCAAATCACCGTGTCTGCTTAACCTTTAGGTAGATCACACGGTGCACGTGGTCGGCAATGACGGTCGAACTGTCATGTAGGACGACGTAGGCTGTGCGACAACTGGCGGTTGTATACGAATCACCATCACTACCTTCGTCAGTTGCCGTCCATAACGTAGTCCCCGAAATACAGTACGTTACCTATCTCATGAAATGTGATAACGAAAACTGATACGAGAATTTCTGGACGTCTTTAACGTTGTTCGCTCATCCACAGCCTTCAATGAAATTCCCTTGTGCAGAAATAGTGTTTGCGTAATTATATGAAGTAAAATATCAGCAAATTTTGGCGAAAATGGACGCTGGAATATATCCGTGCAATTGCCTATGCTAATAGATGTCCTAGACTCCGGTTACGCATCTGAGCTAATTTTTAATTGAAAAGATTGTAAGTTGCCCGCGAGAGTTTTAATAAACAGATTTATCAGAATATCCATTTCAGGTTCGATGCTAACCGTGGGTAATTAACTTGAAAATGCAAAAGTTATTTTAAGAAAACCAGAGGTTTTATCAATTCCTAAAAGTCAAATAGGTCGATCTGTGCGACTTGGTGCCTAAAAGTACAGTAATAGCGCAGATAGGGATTCCTTCGTTTTAAATGGGCTGAAATTGTTTTGCCGTTTGGAAAATTCTACCTGATGTCACATAAACGACCAGCACCGAATGGTCATTTCCAGTTTTGAACATATGAAACACTACTTGTTGTGTTGGTTAGTTTCTGCGTATACCTTACTCAGAAATAGAACGAACAAAACATTAATAGTTTCAGCAAAATATCAGTATTTATACAGGCGCTCTGCCGTGCATTTATAGTCGAAGAACGGAGACTAAAAGCGGGCAAAACCAGTGAAAATGGCCTGAAAGTATAGAGAAAGGCATGTTCTTACGTTTTCGGTAGGTAAAACAGTATTCTTTAGGAACTTGAAAGAAACGGCCAAAGGTGTCAGATTTTTAGTTGGCCTCACCGTGCAAAAATGCAAAGTACACAGACATCCGTCAATGGAGTGCAGTAATAAAGCACTTCTTAAGGAGGTAACTTAGTAAGGAAAATTTTCTTACTGATTGAGGACATATTCGTTGCTGACTTTCAGTGTGGACAGCCATTTTTCTCGAAAACGAAGTTTGCTGTCTTCACCTGTGACGCAAACGACCATTTTCGTGAAAAGGAGCACCCAACCACTCACTAATTCGGTAAGTGCCTTGAGGAATTACCATAGTTTAAATGCCTTCAAGAACAATCTTATTTTAAATTGCTCAACAGACTGGTAATTCAGAATCTGTCTTTATGGACGATCGGATAAAAACACTGCAGATCATGAAGTATTCAGCAATATTTCAAGGCCGATATAAAACTCAGCGCAATCCAAAACGAACGGAAATTGTAAATTAATTTAACGGAGGAGAAGTTCTCCCAGAAAATACAAAATGGTACGTTTACAATCACGCCTGTCAGTTCTATTTTAATTTATTATGCAGTGATCGGCCTGGCAGCACGTCACCGTATGATAACTATAGTTCCTACGACGTCACCATCGTGAATTCAGGCAAAATCCCAGTTTCTCTTGTTGAACCGCGTCTCATTCAACTCAAACGAGTCTAGAATACCACGAATCCTTGGAAAACTGTCTTGGAATCTATACGCAGAATGTAGGCTGTTGAAAAATCGCCATATATGAAATAACACTAATTCTCAAACGATATTTAGATGTAAAGTTTACTGAAACATTATTATTAGTGGTTATTTTATTTGTGCTTTCATATTTACTCCGTTTTTGATATGAAAATACATTCTAGACCTCGAAAAACGAAGTTTACTAAATTAGAGCCAGGTCGCCCTCTGTCAGCTATGATGCAGCGATGTATTCAGATTGTCCGATGTCCTGGTCTTGCGGGTTTGTGATAGCTAACGTCGGGATGGGAACTTCTGTGTCCTAAGCCTCCATGTACCTTGAAACACTACTATTAAACGTTATTTTATTTGTACTTTCATATTTACTCTGTTTTTTTATATGAGAAAACCTTCTATACATCTAACAAAAGTTTACTAAATTACGAGCATTTCAGACGTTTTAGGGATATTACGCTTTTTTAAAGAAAAACAGCATTTCCAGGCAACGCAACACTTCCTTTAATATTTGTTTTTAATTCTTTAAACTCATACTTAATAAACATGGACATTGAATTCATGAAATGGCAATAATTCGTAAATTTTGACACATTTCATGAGTTAGGTCACTAACTGTACAGTACTCCTCGATGCAAGCTAACTGTTGCCTTGAAGCCGCATGATGCGCCCTGCTGGTTGCAGTTTGTCAGACATCGTTTCAACCGGTCTTTTATAAGACTGAATGCGAGTCCAGACTACTGTGATTAATTGAAGTCTACAGTTCCAGGTCTTATCATCGAGGTAACTGGCTTCTTAATTTTTGTGCACTCTCTGGGGTAGGTTCTGGCTTCGCCTACGGAGCACTGCAAATACTGGGCTCGTATTACAGCGTTGTATTATGCTGACAAATGTATTTTCAAAATGCAGTGAGGGCATTGACAAGGGGAATTAGGATACGGATTCAGGCAAGGGTTTAAGACTGGGTCCGTATAAAGTGCTTCTTGGTAAAAAGAACTAATTCGCACAGGAAACTGCGCCAAACGGCCAATAGCATGTAACGCTACTCGTAATTATCATTTCAGAGGGTAGGAGTCCTCCATTCTAATCGATCGAAGCTCCGGCGAAGCGCTATTGGAGACATCAAGATTGACCGATGGCGATGGGGGTCCCGGCAGAGCCTCCGCGTGCTCCACAGGGCTCATCACGAGGGTTGGAACTGAAGTGCCAGGTTGTCGGCGCACAAGGTCGGTAATGTGGATATCGGAGGTGGGCCCCGGCCCGGTTACTCCTGCCGCAGTCTGTTGCACCGCCTCCGGCGTCTCATCGAATTCGGGTTTGAGGTAGATGAGGACGGTGAATATCATCACCGAGGCCCCGATGTAGACGAGACAGTGGTAGGTAACAGTCCATGTCCACTCAACAAACTCTTGCCACTCGGCCCATTCGACGGTGTTCGCGGCCGGGCAGGGCTCGCCAGGCTCGCAGAATTCCAGCTAGTGTCAGAAAATGTGGTTTAGTCTTGCAGTTGTCTGAAATTGGTCGCTCCTGTGAAGTTGGGATACACTAGCTGTACAGCGAGACGCCTGGAAAAGAGTGTACCTGAACACATACCAGCCTGATCGATTTTGAGTTCAATTCTCGCACATCTTGTCGATACGAATAACTGAGCCGATGTCAAAGGCTTCCAGGCTGTCCGCTGGACACCAGCAAACTTCTTCAGAAGTTTACGCCAACAGGTGTTATCTACTTCCGAGGCAGTGGCCATACGGCCAGCGAATCCACTACAATTTCGTCAGAAGGCTTGGGGACAGGCACTCTGTCTTCCGTGGTCAACCCCAGATCGTTATCGCGCGCTGTGACAACCCCCTAGTAACAGTGATGTGTACCCCACGTACCCGACTAGCAAACATCACATACAGCCTAGGTCACCTTTCCCTTAACCAAATGATCATAACACGCCGACCTCATCATGCGAATGGCGTGGGAACGATGAGTGTTAATAGCCCATAAGTCACTTTTAAAGCCTGTGAACTTCTTATATTTTCAATTTTTATGTAACTATTGGCCTGATTATGAGTTGCCGAAAACAAGTCTTCGCCAAATTGTCTTCTTAAATATAGTTTAGTTTTGTAGTTATCTGTAATCTGCGCTTTTGCACCGGCTAGATCACAAAGAAGGAGACGCGATCGTTGAAACAAGGGTTTTATGAGCCTGAGGTTTCGGATTCTCACTCGAATCCGACAAAGTCAGATAAAGGTGGTGGATTGCCCAGGACCCAACCACACGTTCAAGTTTGATGAAGCCGAAATTCTCGCTGGAGACGACAATCGCGTGAGCTGCGAACTGCGCGAGTCATGGTTATCCGGTCTTCAACCAGTCAACAAGCGCAACGACCTCCCCTCTACATATTTGGTGCGACTAGGCAAAGTGGTTAGCCACTCGGAGAGCGTGCGGATGACCAGTGACCCCGGTGTCAACGTCGGCGAACCAAATTGCCCGAGAGTCCACTCGGGTGACGAAACCCGGAATTGAGCAACCCGACTGCGTGCGACGAGCGTAAGGGCCGATAATTTTGACCGACAAGTAGACGCATGGCAGCTGCATGCTGTAACACCTGGTCAGTCAAACCGTGATGAACTCGAGAGCTGCCAATCGTGATAGGCATGTAGTGGCCTATAAATACTGAAACACACGGGCAATCCACTGCCCTTATCTAGCTTTACGTCTGATGATATATCCGAGTGAGAATTCGCAACAACGTCCACAACCGCGTCTCCTTCTTTGTGACTAAGTTCTGGCACTCGCCTCTTCGCTTCTATTGCCGATCAACACTACCACCTGACTCTTTATCTGGCAGGTAGGGAAGCTGGAGGACCCACTGACGAGCCGAACCCCTCGCAGCTGCGTCAGGCAGCGGCACAAGATCGGCGAAACACGTGTGTCTGGGCTTTTAGCTAATACCTGTGTTGTTAGTACGGTAAATTATTGCACAAGGTAGGGAAGTTAGCGGATTTGTTTCAGGACCTATGCACTCAGCCGGTGTTTCGTCAGATGAGAGATAAAAGGACAGCAACGACCTTTTGCGTGAACAGGAGCGTTCAAACACTCACCAATTCGGTAAATGCCTTCAAGAATTAGATCATGAAGTATTCAGCAATAATTCAAGGCCGATCTGAAACTCAACGTAATCCAAAACGCGCGAAAAGTGCAAATTAATTTAACAGAAGCAAAGTTCTCTATAGACACTAAATGGTATTATGATAGTGGGCGCTCACCGATCAGGTTGCGGAACATGCTCGTTCCGTTGTGCCTTGGGGCTCATACTTAAACCCTCGCAGGCAGTCGCACAGCGACTAGTGATATATGTTGAGAAGGTGATACCGACAAAGACAAGGGAGACCGGAATGGCTAATAAGCCAGAAATGGCCATTCCGGTCTCCCTTGTCTTTGTCGGTATCACCTTCTCACTAAATGGTATGTTTACGATCACACCTGTCAGTTCTATTAAAATTTGTAAGGCACCAATCGGCCTCATGGCATGTCACCTTATGAAAACTTTTGTTCCTACGACGTCCACATCGGTGAAATCGAGAAAACTTCAGCTTCTCTCGTTGAATCCCATCTCATTCAACTCAAACTAGTCAAGAATACCAATAATGCCTGGAAAACTGTTTTGGAATCTACACTCAGAATGAAGGCAGTTGACAAACCGCCATGTATGAAATTACACGAATTCTTAAAAGATATTTAGATGTAAACGTTATTTCATTTGTACTTTCATATTTACTAGGTTGGCGGAATGAGAATACATTCTATACATCTAAAAACGAAGTTTATTAAAGTAGAACCATTTCTGACGTTTTCGGGATGTTGCGATTGTCTAAAAAAAATCGGCATTTCTAAACACTGTAACACTGCCTTTAATATTTCTTTTATGTTTTTATTCTTTTATACTTGCACTTAATTAACATAGACATTGGATTCATGAAGTGGTGTCGGTTTGCGTGTGATTGGCAATCATTCGTAAATTTCGACACTTTTCATGAGTCAGATCACCTACTGTAAGTGATAGTAAATCAAAATCAGAAAATTATGTAACTACAACCAAAGAAACCTCGAGCATGCTATCTCACGGAATCTGTTAATGAAGATTCTAATCTCATCGTTACGTATTCATTCCCAAGTCCCCCAGAACAGAACACTAATGATTGTGTTGAATGTGCACGGGCCTGTCCTCCGATGAGCAGAATTAATATCTCTGAGCTAGCAAACAACGTTCCCGAAAGCGAGGTCGAATGCGTTCCACCCCAACCTGACCGATGTGGAAGAAGTAACTTAGTGTAAACACACCTACTGATAACAAGCAAGTACGTCAACAATGTTGACTCATAATGTCAGGCTATGAGCTGCGATCTTGCCGCTGTTGTACCAATCAAATGAGAAGGAACAAATGAGCCACGCAGTGGCGGTTTGGGTAGGAGCCTTAATCAGGCTTTTGTCACCTGTCCATAGACGTTTTTAGCGCAGCAAGATAATATGCTCTGCACCACTGCAAGTGCATGAGGCTTTCGGACATGTAAACTTCCATCTTACGTTTTCGACGGCGCCGGTGCAGTCTGTCTGGTGTTCACTGAGGCACACACGCAGTCTTTTGCGTTGTCGTCGCGGGCCGCAGTACGGATCGCACAGCGTCCAGGTGGACCACGCTGACCATTCGCCCACCATCTGGTCGCAGTACGGCCCTGTGTAACCGTCATCGCAGTCGCATATCCACTTCTGTCCGTCCTGAAACGTTAAATAACACAGACAGCAAGAGGACGGGGTTTTATTTACAAATTTTGCAACCGGAAGTACTGCAGCCACGGTAAGATGATAGTTGGTAGCCGTGCCCACAGACTCCACAATGGCACCTACTGGCTCAATTTCAGTAGCTGTGATTGCGTTCTCATTATGCTTCTAAATTCACGCGCACGCTGTATTACCTGTATCAGATTCATTCTAGAGGAGCTATCCTGGGCAGATTTGTGCCGGTAACGATGACAATGAGGCTTACCCAATATCAACTTTCATTAGAAGAGGTAGTTGGCAGGCGTGCTCAAGAATCCACAATCGTTCCTACTGGCTTGATTTCAGTAGCTATGATTACGTTCTCATTATGCTTCTAAATTTACGCGCGCGCTGTATTACCTGTACCAGATTCATTGTGTAGGTACTATCCTGGGCGGATTGGCACTGGTAACGATGACAATGAGGCTTTCCCTACATCAACTTTCATAAGAAGAGGTAGCCTTTGCCTGCCTCATTCATTGTGGAAGTACTATCTTAGGCGGATTGGCACCGGTAACGATGACAATGAGGCTTACCCTTTATCAACTTTCATTAGCAGAGGTAGCTTTCGACTGCCTCATTATTTGCGGATTTTCTCGTCCATCCAAACCAATTTTTCGTATAAAAGTTTTGCCCGGCTTGCGTTGTGGCGTCCCGCGTGCCGCTACTTGACTCTCGTGTTCTTCTGTCCATTATGTTGGATGGAGTTCTATCGCACACACTGCGGAATGACCTTCGGACCAGTTGCCTTCTTCCCATTGGTTGCTCGCCTTCACTTGTTTTCTTTCCAATCTGAGGCTAGGATGCATTTATTCCGCACACCGTTCAAAGTCTCCTTGCTCATTTCCATACCTTCCTTGTATTTATCACCTAATCTAAATTAGGCTTCCACTTTACCTGTAGCGTCAATTCCTAGCATATACTACAATCGCCATTTACCCGCCCACTCAATTGTCCCACCCGTATAGCCCCTATTACCACCGGTCCCGATTGACAGGCAGCTGGGAGTTTGCGGTGTCAGGAGGGCTACCAAGTATCATCTAACCGTGACCACAGTGTAACTAAATCAGAAACGGAGTCGATAGTGAAGCAAGAAGCAAGCGAGCAGAAAAATTATAGGAAATAACATTGGGCAGTAATAGACATCCGATTACTTCTACTCGAGTTGACTTGGATAGTTAGATCCTCAGTAAAACTCGCAAACTTAAGAAAATGGGATGGAACTACATTCTAAAATGGCCATACGCCGGGCGCCTGCTGTGAAATTGCGATTCTCGTGCGTGCCGGTGGCAGTCTGGTCCTCCACCAATCATAACTATCCAAACAGACCAATCAACTTCAAGTTCGACCCAGACATGCCCTCGCTAAAGATGCTCTGACACCTGCCCCCATGGCACTCGGAAGCCGGATTTGCTGTGCCGGACGTGTGCTCTCCTCCGACCGTCAGCTCTCTCCACCTTTTTTTAATCCGCCTGTAGAGAATCCAACGAGCTCTCTGCTGGCATCAAACTTCACTATCTATTGAGGGACGGACCTGAAAGTCTAAGTGGCAATGGCCCGTCCATACCTTAGGCTGTCGCGACAGCACATAGCTCTTCTCGCACTGTTCGGAATCTCTGCCTGGTAGAGGTGGATGGGGAAGTTTGTTGTGGGAACCCCCCAGTTACATAAAACCTTACGTTCACTTTGTCGGCTCACTTCGAGTGTCCAATCACAGCGAGCAACCACGTCCACCGTTTGCTTTGAGGAGTGGGCAGAGTAGCGGTGAGTTGCGCGTAAACTAGTTTAAAGTAGGACAGACTTACACAGTATCTACCGCACACTCTCTTCGCTCACTGACCTTATTCCGACGACAAGAGAAAATCAAGGGAATCAGAAAACGAGGTGGTGAGCATACGTATCTTTCGATAAATTATCGTCAGGCCAGTGGGAAGGGGGTAGAAGTAAAATATGTCAGCGATAAGAGAAATCGATAAAGGTTCGCCCTAAAAACAGACGCCTTAAAACACACCCCGCCTGTGTTTTAAGGTGAACTTTTATCGATTTCTCTTATCGCTGACACTTGGTGCGTCGTAATAAATTCAAACGCATCAGGTTTCCAATAGTGAGGGATGTGCCGATTTGGGGTGGGAGTGAACTTCTTAATGTCATCCTTACTCTCTCCTCTCCCGCTCTCCCATGCACCAGCCAACTGTATCCGCTTGGGAAAAACTAGCTACCTTGTCGATTTACGCAATTGCTATCAGACGAGTCGCCATTCAGGGGGATTTCCGACCAACTTGAAACCCTCGCTTCGCTATTCACCGCATTATTATTCAAGGACGAGTGACGTTCAGAAATATAACTCTGGAACCCTTACCGCGTTCGTCACAGAGATAGAGGAGGTGTCTGCTTTCGGTTATATAATCTAAAACTATCCTGTCTGAGGTTACTGAGGCACAGAAAACTTTGGGAGCGAATATCGTCCACAATGAGGCGTTCATGGCAGAAAACAAATAATAGTAGGTGGTTTTATGCTCTGAGATGGAGTGTGTACAACGACAACTTGTCCAACAGGCACAAACAGCCAACCATCAGCCAGCCGGAACAAGACATATAGACTGACAACGAAGCATGAGACTGTTATGCTTAGTCCTCATTTACGACCACGCCTAAGAGCCGCTATGAAATCTAGACCTTCTGAATGAACCCTGTGACCATCTCCACCATGACCTCTCTGCCCCTGTCAACATCTTCCACGGAAAAAATTGAAAACAGTACGATCGAAGGGTCTTCACTGGTGGTTCGGTTAAGCCAGGGCATCGAGACTTGGGTCCGAAATAACATCGTGGACAGCCCTTCCAGGATTAGTATAAGTCACCTACAGGAGTCATCTTTGTAATCAAGCCGATTTTACTTATCTGCTTTCAGGCATTATTTCTCAGGGGCAGTGCTGTTGCACCCTTACAGACCGTTCCTTAGAGTCTTAATATGGTTTGTGGGTGTGGTCGGAGTTCTTGTGCTGTCCTTTTTTGATTTCATCGAGAAATAGTGCGCGAACTTGAAATAAATCTCTCAGAATAAAACCTCTTAGGCGAATATGAATATCGGTGAGGCACGCGTGTATGGGCTTTTGGCTAGCATCTGTGCCACTTGTATGGTATCCTCTTACCCTAGAATATACTACTGACTGCCTGTAGGGAGTTCATGAATATTGCGCGGTTATCGGCTGTGACTGATGGACTTCGGTCCAGATATTCATACATCAGATTTTGATCCGTGCCTATAGACCCTAGAATATACTGATCTACTAAAAGTTAGCTGTTAATTTCTGAGGAGATTAAAAAGCAACAATTAGTGGTAATAAAAAGAGGAAGAAGAAGTTATCACTGGAACAAAGGCTTTATTCTCCTAACGTTTCGGATTCTCACTTGAACCCCTCATCAGAGATAGTGGCAGAAACGTCTCTTATCAACCAGTTTCTGGAACTCGCATTTTCGCATTTATCAGCAATTAGTGGCAAGTCCCCGACAGTAAGCGACTAAGCAAATGGCACATCTGTTGTTGACAAATCGACCAAGATCAGTTGTTGGCATGAGCACTTCGAATACCTTCTCGATTTTGCATGAACATTCCATCGCACCCTCGCCCTACTCTGCGGCGGAATTTTATCCCTCTCCAGCCTGGCGCAATACAAAGGCTGCGTAACAACAAGGCACTCAGAGAAGACGGCATGTCCGCCGAAGCCTACACTTCTTGCACTGGAATTCTGGCGCCATTTGACTGAGCAGGCTTGGAGTTATGAGATCATTCCTGATAACTGCAGCTCGGGGATCCTTGTACCTGTCTTCAAGGAGGGTGATAAGACAAGATGTGCGAGCTGTTGCGCTATAAGCCTCATCGATGTTGCTGTAAAGGTCTTCGCTGCCGTCCTTCTCAGACGATTCCAGACCGGGCGTGGATGTGGCGACCACGCTGTGGAGCATTTTCGAATTCCGCCATAGCTACCAACAACAGAGGGCTGTCTGCTGTGCTGACGCCGGCGCTGCGTTCGATGCCGTTCATCAAGAATCCCTGTGACAAGTAATGAAACTAGTAGGTGTGCCGACCAAAATCCTCGACACGGTGAAGACCTACTACCACTTAACCACCGCGCAACTTCGAGTCCATACCAACCTCTCCCATTCGTTTGATAACGTTCCACAACGTTGCACCCTGTCGTCCATTCTGTTCAACTACCCCATTCATTGGATTTTCGGGATGGTCCCTCATGGTTTTGATAGCGTGGAGTTTGCACCCAGCCGCCGTCTGACTGATCTCGAATACACTGAGGATATTGCTTTTCTGGTTTCAGACTTGGACAATCTGCAGTTAATTGTGTTACAGGTAAATAAGATCGCTAAATCCGTCGGTTTATCCAAAAACGCTGAAAAGTCCAAGGCGATTTCATATGGCATCCCTGACAAGAAGAAAGCACCTCACGAGTTCATCGGTTGTCAGCGAGAAGGTGTAGACAGTTTCAAATACCTCGGGGCGGGGCTGCTGTCGAATGTACCAGAGTAAGAACAACATTGTCTCGCAAATTGGTGCTGCTCTCCGGGTTTTCTAAAGACTTTGAAGGTGTGTATGAACCCAACGCGACATCTTTGCAGCCGTCCGGTCAGTCCTTCTGAATGGCTGCGAATGCAGGGTCTCCAACTGGGCCACGCTGCAGATGCACTGGACCGACACGGGGAGGGGCCCATTTGATACTGGCAGGCGTTTTAATGAATGCACACCCACAACAAATGCCGACATTTGGGGTGCGATGGCAGGCCAGTTGACGGCTCACGTCGCGCCAGTCGGGATTTCTGCCACCTCCCAATTTTGTTGCTGGTTTAAATCCTGGTCAAGTGTTTGTCGTGGACCAGGGTGTGTGAATTGGCACGCCTAGATGCGGGTCCGGTCATGCCAGTCACCTGCGTCATCTTCCGTCTTTGACTATTTCTTGACGCCGGGCGCAGGAGAGGGGAGGAGAATGAGACTGAGTTAGATGCTTTGCAAGACTGCTACCCCTATAAACTAACTCACATACAAGTCACCCTGCCTGCCCTGACCCTGCTATGGAGCACACGGTGAACATCGTCGGCCACGACAGTCGAACTGTCAAATTCCTGGCTGTACTCGCGGAGGATGAGCGAAAGCTGAAGGTATAGGTCCGCCACCGTTTGAGAACCATCCTTCGAGTGAAGTACGCTAACCTTATCTCAGATGAGACAGTCCGCACTCGCTGCGACGATATCGCAATGATATCAGAGGCCATTAAAGAAAGACGACTACAGCGGTTTGGTCACACTCTTTGACGTCCGGCCCACGAGCTCACTGTGGCTGCCCTCGAACCGACGCCGTTGCCCACGTGGAGGCATCGAAGCGGGAGTCAACTCAGAACCCGGCTCGACATAGTCCGTCACGCCGTGAAAGTGGCCCTTGGACCTTCGTTACTTGGTCTCCGTGTTTTGCAAAGCGGACGGGTTGAGCCGTCCAAATCTGCTGCGGCGGATCATAGCGCGCGGAGGAGTACAGTCCGTGATATCATCGAGGCCGACTGGAGCAGACATTATCGTATTCGTACCAAGTACAAGTCGGAGCTTAATTTACGTGAGAGAGAGAGAGATAGAGATGGATATTCTAGGACGAATAAATTTCCCGTGGCCGTTAGGTCTTCCTCAATGTTGGTTGAGGGTGGCATTTCGGTCCAGGTATTCATACATCAAATTTCGGTCTGCGTCTATAGACCCTAGAATAAACTGATCTACTCCAAGCTAGCAGTTAATTTTTAAGGAAATTAAAAAGCAGCAAATATGGATATTTGAACAGATATCCATCAACTGCCGCGGAATAATCTGGGAATATTCACAGACTACCAACAGACAGTCAGTAGTATATGAATACTGGATTATTTACCATGCCGACAGCAGCGGTACTAGGTGAAAGTCAAGGAGCACGTGTTGCGCCGATCTTGTGCAGCTGTGTAAATCAGCTGCGAGAGGTTCGGTCCACCCGTTGGTCTGCCCCAGCTTTCCCCTTGTGCTTTCTAGTATTAAAAAAATCCCATTTCAGTTCTACCTTTTTAGTTACTTCAGATAGATTGATAAGCACCATTCCAGTGCGACTTTAGCTACACATGGTAGAAAACGATGTGGCCGAGCGTTTTGGTTGAAGATACTCGGCATCCAACTCTCAGGTGCTCGTCTGGGACTGACACATGATTAACTAAGGAATACAATAAGCCAGAAGTTGCCATTAACTTCCCCATGCTTTGCCGGTAATGTTTCTCGATTACTGACCGCTAGTCGGTCTGAAACGGATTTTGAGAAATCCAGACATGACGCTACAAGGCGGAAAGAAAGCATGAATTTCCATCTCACAGTCGCGGTGAGTTTGTGCACAACACTCACACATGGCCTCCAGTACTCTCAACTTCGACTGACGGGATGCACGCCCATAGCTCAAGTTGTAGTGCGTCTGAATTAAAAGCGCGTAGTGATCAATCACACCCACTTTAAAACTCAACTGTCAGTCGGAATTTGTGTTATTGCCGGCTGATGACAACATACAAGGCTAAAATGATTATTTCGGTTTCCCCTATCTTCGTCAAAAGACTTCTTTCCCATTAATTATTTGTTGCTATGTGGCAGTCTGCTCTCGTGATCGCCAGCGCTAGCTCCGTCGACCGCACGTGTCGCCTCTCAATCGATTCCTTGAGCTGCGCGTGAGGTGGCCTTGTCGTGACGAAGGCTTGACGTCACTCGACGCTGCATCCCTCGCTGATTGGCTGCAGGCAGACAAAGCTCAGGTGCACACACGCGTTTCGCACCAGAGCTAAGAACTTCAACGGCTGTTTGTACGCTCTTCCGCCTCAGTAAAGTTTGTCCAACCAGCTCTGTCTTCTCTGAATTCTGACTCGGGTGCCTTCGCACTGTCGATCATCGCACCTTGACTGCTATGTCTGTCTGAGAGGGCTTTAACTGAGAGGGTACAGAAGGAATATGCTCATCTTCGCAGTCAGTTAGGTGAGGCGCCATTTTCTCGTGACCTACCCATGTGAGGAAACGTGGAAGATGTCACGTATAAACCGACGGAAAGTACAGTGCGTGACCTATCTCATGAAATGTTGGCTGAAATTCTGAAATGCGTTTTCGATTAGGAAGGATTACTTGGTCGCGGTTGTGATAATGATTATCTTAAGGCATACTCTTGCAACATTTCGGACTCGGCAGGATGTCGGCTTTTAAATGCACGTCTTTTCACTCTCCTGTAGTAAGCTTGCTCGGTAAGAAATGACTACTTAAGTGGCATGCATTTTTCCCATTGATTTTCGATGGTCTTGGAAATTCAAATATATTTTATAGAAACCGCAAACAAAAATATGCTTTTTTTAGTCAATCAATAGAGAATCACGCTTCTTTATATTTTATACTTAATGAAGGAGTATAATTAGGTTTTAAAAAAGTTTCCAATTATGAGACTTTTTAAGACCGCGATATGTCCATTCACATAGCATCGTACCTGGCCGTTTACCACTGCTCCTCATGAAATTTACAACATAGTCCGCATCCATTGCAAAATTGTATGGGCTCTGTATGATATCTCTTTAATGACAGAAAAATATGGGATTTTCTTTAGGCGGAACGCATGCACCTTGTAGAGTGTAATCACTAAGCGCTAATGCAACGAATGATCAGGCTTCAAATTTGTCGGCAATTAGAAAACTTTTTTAAAACCTAATTATACTCCTTCCCTAAGTATGAAATATAGAGAAGACGTGATCGTCTATTGATGTACTAAAAGAAAACATATTTTTATTTATGGTTTCCATAAAATATATTTGAATTTGTAAGACCATCGAAAATCAATGGGAAAAATGCATGCTACTCAAGTAGACATTTTTTACCGAGCACGCTTTCTACAGAAGATTGAAAAGAAGTGTCTTTAAAAGCCGACATCCTGCCGAGTCCGAAATGTTGCAAGAGTATGCCTTAAGATAATCAGTATCACAACCGCGACCAAGTAATCCTTCCTAATCGAAAACGCATTTCAGAATTTCAGCCAACATTTCATGAGATAGGTCATGCATTGTACGTTTTGGTGCACGCATACTGGATGCGCTGGTAGGTGGGATACGCAAGTGAAAAATCACAAACCGATGTCGGGACGTCTGTACACTGCAACAAGACGTCCTACAATCGACCGTCCCTGTGAAACCCCTCGAAGTGCGTCCCCAACAGGGCTTGCGCTGCATCCAATCATAGAGCGCAGCCGTACCATCCTGCTAAATGCTAAAGTGCGGACCTCCGTCCTGAATACTCTCCGTTAGGTGGTCAAGACCTGGGTAATCGATCAAGAAAACATAACACCTTTCGCCAGCAATTTCTTAAGGGAACTTGAGTATAGAAACGACAGGAGTGGATCACGGGCACTGAGGCGCTTAAAATTACTGCCGTGCTCAACTTGCACGCTATGTCCGAAAGGGGTTTAATTGTGATGGCGCAGTCGCGTCGTGAGGTTGACTGGTGTGGACCTATTCGGGTGCATGCATATACACAAAAGATGCTTGCCCAGGTCCCCTTTTTATAGCTACATCCCCCCCCCCGCAAACTCAGACAATGCGAAGCCCTATTCAGCCGCATGCGTGAACATCTCAACGATCAATAAAACGCCAACAGTTGCTCATTCGATGTCATTTTCCGGCATAATAATGATCTGTGAAGCCATCGGCAGTTCGACCGAAGAGTTCAGTTATGCTCGTCGTGTGACCCACAACAGGGTGAGAGTAGGGACAATGGATCCGGTGTCAAGACAGAGTCAAGAAGACCGGATGCGGGGGAGGGCGCAGGTGGATGGCTTCACACAGCAAATGACCAGGATGTTAACTAACTGCAACAATGGGGAGGGACGCATGGTCCCAGTGTGTGCGACGTCTGCCGGCAACTAAGTCTGCAGTTGTGCCCTCGAGATGTTGAAATTTGTTGTGGTGCGCATTCCGATAACGCCTGCCAGGATCCGATATGGCTCCCTTGTTGGTTCAGCGCATCTACCACGTGGCCTGTTTGGGGGACGCGAGTACACGCGAAAGTTCGACCGTCGATTCCAACGATGTCCACCGAGTGCTACATAGCAGGGTGCAGCAGGTGTGGCGACATGTGCGCGAATTAGTCTATAGTAACAGTGGACTTACGCAGCATCTAGCGCACTCGCTCTTCCCCACTCCCCACCTGGACCCGATGGCAAAAAAGAGCCAAGAAGACCGGAGGCATGGGAGGGCGCAGGTGGATGGCATGGTCGAGCCAGCAGCTTCACGCTCCACTGCACATCCCCTGGTCCACACAATATTTGACCAGGATTATAACCAACAACAAGAATGGAGAGGAACGCAGGGGTCCCAATGTGCGCGACGTCCGCCGGCAACTGGGTGTACAACCGCATCCCGGTATGTTGGCATTTACTATGATGCGCATTCCGATAACGCCTACTAGGGTCCACTCTGACCCCCGTGTTGGTCCAGGGCATCAACCACGTAGCCCGTTTGGGGCGCGCGAGTGCACACACCACTAGACACTAGCAGTCTCTGCCCAGTTCCGAGGAATGTATAAAAGCAGCTGATACCACAGGCTTATTCTTTTCAGGTATGGCTTAGAACCGTCAGCACGTGCTCTGTTCTTGTCAGCGCCCGCGACAACTTGTAATACACCACTGCAACTCTAGATATGGTGTCGTACAGTGTAGATTCTGGTATTTGTAAGTGATATCACCATCTCGACCGACAAGAGTGCTGAAAGAGGTGTGTAGTTTTAAGCCCATTCTAGGAATCCTACCTTGGAGGCGACACAATTTCCCTCGATGCAGATTTGGCTGGCACATGGCGACGTCGCAGACAAGCAGTTGTCGTAGGAAAGGCTGGGATCCATGGCATAGCCGTCGGCGCACCGACAGTAATAGCTGGAAGTGCCCAACTGTGGGATGCAGAGGTTCTCCGAGTTTACGGCCGTTCCACAGGCCTCAAAACCCGCAGGAATGCGCGGCCTGGCGAGGTCCATTGCGTAGATGCCATCCTCAGGAGCTCTGTGGCTGACGTCGTAGACTTCAGAACCGACGACGCAGGCGTCCAATTCTTCGGAACAGTCCGTGCCCATATAGCCACCCCGGCAAATGCAGGAAGTCACACCTTAAAACAAACGAAATGTCAGTTAAACTGCAGCCCAAAAGAAAAAACATGCATCAGTTCTTGCTGATTTAGGCTTAACGAAGTTTGACAAAAATAGATGTTAATACTGACCTAATATCCGAGTTTTTCACCTGGTGAGGGCCATCTGTGCACGAATGCTTTGTAACCGACCACATTTCCTACGACCTCAGACCTTTGTCCCTGCATCTCTCACCCACTTAGTCATTTAAGAAAACAAGTCTAAACACGGTCGGTGTCCATAAGGTCTCCGCGGCAATTATTTTAAAAACGGAGACTATGAGGACCACTGGAGCAGATGACAGTTATGGTGGTGTGAGTGAGGAAAATATGCTGAGGGGAATCTTCAGTAGTACTTTGATCCAGCTTACAAGGGCTGCTGATTCGGCGAGGCACTGGAATATGGGCCATCCCCGTACTACAGTGGGCCTTGCGCTAAGTTCAAAACGGGGTGCCTATTCCCTTGTCCCGGCTTTAACTCTGACGCAAACGCCAAATCCTCCTCCCCCGGAACTTAGCGCAAGCCAACCTGCAATACGGAGGCGATCCATATTCCCGTCCCCTATCCAAGCCAGTTTTTCCGCGCTGTCAAAAGGCGCGTTCAGAAGAAGAAGAAGATGCGATTACCGGAACAAGAAGTTTATTGGCCTGACGTTTCGGAGCCTTACTAGGACACATACTCAGGGACCTTTATCTGCAACGGTCTCTGATGATGTGTTCGAGTGAGAATCCGAAACGTCAGGCCAGTAAACCTTTGTCCCAGTGACCGCATCTTCTGAACTGCTTCCTGGAACTCGCCTGTTCGCTTCGATCAGCAAAAGTCGCACTTCTTGCATACATTAAATACCGGGGTCCTAATCCGAAGTGGCCACGGTAGTTTACAAAGAAATCAAAAAGGTGGCGACTTGGTTATATTGAGGATATGTGACGCCAGCTTCCGCCTGTGCCTTAATCTGCTATCTCAGTATTCCTACTCATGATCCGCAGATTGTCATGGGATGCGTAGCTTCAAATTTAGTCACGTTTAACGGTCAATTTCAATGCCAACCTCTCGTCTTGTTCGAAATTAGAGGAGGTAGTCGTAGAGGGCGTGTGTTGCAGCGGTCATTCGATCCAAAATGTCCTAGCTACGCAAAATTAACCTTGTTCATTGATTTCACCCGACCGTTTTTACATGAAATTATGCTCGACGCACAGGCCACAAGCAGGCAAACTCTTCGATTCTACTAGTCAAACGACATGAGTGATGGCCTGTACATATCTTTTTCACGCCGCACACTCTTGCGTGAGCTGTGGACCTCGTAGATGGGGCAGTGAGCCCGACCAGTGACTGTGATCCAATCCATCTTCAGTCTACTTGCCCGGGGCATCATTTGCGGACGGTAAAACCGAGAAGACTGTAGTGGACAGCCGTAATGGCAACGTCGCGCCTCTTGCTAGCGCCTGCACCTACGTCCTAGCCACAGCCTGCTATGGCGCGCACGTCAGTCCGGCTTCGATTTGTCTCGTTGCAATTCACTGTCTGTACCACGCATTCGGTCGATTCTTTGCCTGCACCATGCGAGGCTTTTCCCTACCTTCGCGTGGGCTCGGATCCAATCAACGCAACTCCTCTCGCTGATTGGATAATACGGGCAGGAACAGTCCAGAACACTAGCATAAACAATCTGCGACGACACTTTTGCAGCGGCGACCTTCGGCGACACACGGCTCGTCGCTCTCGCGGACGCCGCTCCGCGGCGCTGGACGCATCCTCGTCCGGTTGCCAACTCTCCGCTTCAATATTCTGTACAGAATAAAGTGTCCCAACCAAATGGCGTCCTGCTTATAGCAATTTGGATATGGCGTGAAGTTGTGGCGTACTGAGCGTACACCATCACCGCTTAGCCGCTACAAGACTGAGTGTGACCCACGCACATGTCACCACTATCCCTCCGGTCGGCATCATCGTTTCTGGCGGACGGACTATCATTACAATAGACTTGAGAGTCCGACTGACGATCCACAGCAGCGTGGTCGCAGAGACGGCCACTTGAGTGTGAATTAGTTTGTAATGGTAGTAAACCTGCGCTTCACTTACCGTTATCTCTCCCCTCTCAGTTACCCGGACCCGGTGTCAAGACAGGAGTAGAGAAACCGGAGGCGGGATCAAGCGCAACAACTGAAAGAGCCAAACAACTGGCCTACATAACTCCCACAGACCTGGTTCGCGCACACTTGACCTGGTTTTGAAATACTCCCATCAGTAGCTAATGGGGTTAGAGGCGTGACATTTCCTTCGGTAAAAATCCTGCAGAATTCCTTCGAAGTCCTGCTGGTTGCCGCCAGTTGTGAGAGGGTCTCAGTTCCTTTCCAAAGAACTAGGTCAGACTTATCAGGCGAAGTGTCCTCCACAGACTTTCGCTGAATTTTATGGTAAATGGACAAACTGCGATTGTTTCTCTTTAACAAAGTCTGTAATGAGACTCGAAAATGTGGCAACAGTAGGGTGTAAGACCCAGCTAACTTGAGATGGTCTATGGATCTTGTCATACGTCGAATGGTGGTAGAGGGGGTTTTACGTGTGGGAAAACAGAAAGGTGGAGGAGCAGACAGAATGCAAGAAGACACAGGAAAAAAAATAAATTTCTGCCGAAAGTCTTACCCTATTCCGCCACACGGCACGCAAGGGAGCGCAATAATTTGAAAAATAAGCAAAGAGCAATTTTCAAAAAATAGCGGATTCGGAATAAACCGCTGCCGCCGTCAGTCAGGAAGCCACCGAAATTTTAACCAATAGGAAGGGTGAAACACCCTATCGATAACGAAAATTTAATCCAATAACGGCTCAGCTCATATGCGGCCGCGAGGCGTCGAAACCGTTTGGCGAAAACCATGGGTTAGTCACATTATTTTTGGAAAAATGAAACTCTCTTCAGAAGCTTTGCACAGATGAAGGCTTAAAGGAGCGGTTAAGAAGTAACGGCCCCATGTAATAAAAACTTCATGTATCAGGAATGGCGTCTACCAACAGTTCTATCAATTTTCGACCTGCCGATCAATTTGAAGCTACAGCCACGACCCACTACATCACTATAGCAACGACGAGGGCTATTTTAGGATTTTCCGAACGAAAGTCTTGTCAGTAAACTCTTTCGATCTATCTACAATAGTGGATTCAACTTTTGCTCCAGCTAACCAGCTTACTTGCTAGACACAGAACTCGCGTTTCTCGCCTTGCTCTTCGACTAAAATCCGGAAAACCTAAGCCCCCCTCAAAGTTGCAAAACGTACTTTCATTTCCGTAAGGCAAGATAAATTGAAACTGTCTGCAAAGAAAATGACTAGCTCGTGGTGCAAATACAATTTCCATCCCCAAACAAGCAGGAACTGGCAAAACCCTGATAATGAAATAGCACTTCGTTTCTGTATAATATTCGCAAAAGACGTAATGGCATATAGAAACATACGTTGTGAGTATTGTTCGTGTGGATCGTTTTTAAGAATGTGGTCGTTTTTCTCCAGACATAAAAATCTATGGGACAAGTGAGCGAATCATGCGGGTAGCTTGAAAGATGATACGGTATAGGCCAACAAACTACGATTGGAAATTTACTTGAATCTATGTTTCATGCCGATCGGCCTTGATAAGTCGAAAACCATCGGCCCATTTTTAATAAATTTCTCTGCATGCTATACCTAACCCGATAGGAAGGCATACAAACATTTTACATATATTAAGACAGACGACATGACTCAGGTTCCAGGAAAACAAGAATACCTGTTATTGGATCAAAGTCGCAGGATGCGGTGTTATTCGGATGGCAGAGTTGGTCGCAGCGACTTTCGGGTTGACAGGCGAATACTAAAGAATTCCAGACGTAACCCTGAAAAAGGCGGCCTAAGATTATTTAGGTGGGAAGGAAAGTTGCGAATTGAAGAAAACCTCAACTAGCGCAAGTTTTAATCCCCTCTTTTGAGAATGAAAGTCGCAGTAGTAACAATAATCATGAAAAAATATCCCGGACGACGGTGTGCTTGTGGATGACAGGATTTCCACCAAGGATCTTTAAAGTGACCTACATAAGCGAGGCAAAGGCGGGACACAAGCAAGCATTAATTAAATCTGGAAGGACGGAACTAATTAAATCCGTGTTGGCCTAAAATCTATGATAGGGTCCTAAAAACGATCCCGAATTAAGGTAGCAGATGGAACGAAGTTCAAAGTCCTAAAACCGTGTCCTGCGTGTCAATCACCCGAAAGCTACCTGAGGTAGGGGTGATATTGGTTGCCGATGGCAGATAGACAGAAAAACGCTTCACTCTTTTATTTGGCAATGATAGGACGTAGGAGCCCCAACTAACGTGAGCTAGCCTGTGGACCGTGTCATACGTTGAATGTTTGTAGAGGGGGTTTTACGTGGTGGGGCAAAACAGAGGACAAAAGGCAAGAAGACATAGAAAATGGATAGATTTCCGCCAAATGTCTTATTGTACACTGTCATTTGGCGAGAAAAGTGAGCGCAATAATTAAGAAATCAACTAAATGCAATTTTCAAAGAATAACGGACTTTGAATAAAGCGTTACTTTTAAGGTCACATTTAGTCAGGAGGTCAAGGAAATTTCAGACAGTGGGAACGGTGAATAATAAATGATGTATGCCGTCAAAGGGAATTTTGTGGAATATTTTGTAGTTGCCATCCACTTGTGGGTCCTACATCCTATCGTAACCTTTTATTTTTCAATAAGCTCCCCTTGATTACAGCTCCCTCGTTGCTAAGCAACTGCCATCCAGGGCCCTAAGCTGCTCTCGAGAGTAAAAAGGAGGGAGTGGATACGCTTCTGCAGCCTTTGATCGACAATAGTTCGATTATCGCGGACGACAATGTTCTCCCCTGGAGCTACACAATGTTGAACACAGGAAGGGGGGATTGTTCGCGGTAGCAGACATCTGTCACACTCTCTCACTC